AAAATATAATGAAAAAAAAACAACTCAGTATTCATGAAATTCTGGATTCAGCATTCCACAGAAAAATTGAAGAAAATAGAGACAATTACTTCGGTCAATTACTTCAACAGTTTTATTTATTGCTCAGCATGAGCTTCCCCTTCGGTAAAAAAATGATCAAGATTCTGTCTTTCCAGATATGTTGCATTTTCGAATTGAATCAGGTGGCCAGGTTTTAAAAAATCATTTGGAATCTGGACCAAAAAATGCGTTGTACATATCCCATCAGATTCAAAATGAGCTGATTTAAACCTGTGCAGATATTCTCAAAGAACAGATAATCTGCAAGGTTAAAAAAACATCCGTTTTTTCTGTATTGGCTAATGATACTGCAGATATTAGTGGAACATAACAACTATCCTTTGGTGTGCAATTTTTGCGTTGCGATGAAGGCACAGGGCAGTTGACAGTGTGCGAAGAATTTCTGGGTTATACTCCGCTGACCAAATTGGATGCAGTGTCCATCTCAGAAGCAATCCTTCAGTTTCTGAATGATTGTAATTTAGATTTGTCGCGACTTGTCCTAATGTTTCTCTGTTTTGTGAAACATGTTGGTTGCCAAACTTTAAAAGTATCAGAATATTTTCTGAGAATATTTTGGTAATTGTCCAAGCGCTAGAAAAGCTAACAGAGGACAGTGAACAAAAACACAAAGGTTAAGGCTCATTTGCTGTTTACTGCTATCACAACTGCAACTTACATTTTGACGCTTTTAGTAATTGCTACTTATTCGGCTAAACTTGAACCTGTGTGCAATCAGTTGCAGCAAATAAATATGAGCATTAAAAAAGTAACTGCTCATATAATTCAATTAACAGATGAGTTGCAACCCCATCGAGACAATGTTTCTGACGAGTTTTCATTGATTTTCAAAAAAGCACAATGGATTTGTGAAGAATTAGACATTGAATTAAAACAGCCACGGCTAAATAAAAAACAAGTTCACAGATCGAATTTACCTTCTGAAAACGCAGAAGAATATTTTAGGTGATCCATTTTCATCCCTTATTTGGATTCTGTAACATCTTCTCTATAAATTCGGTATTCTTCTACACAAGAGAAAGCATTTTCACTTTTACAACTTCACCCAAAAGAAATGAGTGAATTGGATAAGTCATCGTTTTTAACGATTCTGGAAGACATTAACAGTCTGTATGGTGATATTCTTCCAAACTTTATATCTGACGCTACCACATGGTATGCGACGTGGAAAAATAAAAACGTTGCTACCGGAATTACCAATTGCATGAGTTTAATTGAAGAGGCTACGAAGTTTTTATTTTAGAGTTCATTTATAGAATTGACTTTATTTATAAAGTTTATTTTCATAATTAATATTAATTTTCTTTATACATAAATCGCATAGCGAAATAAAGTTACGATTACAATTTCTCAGCAAATACAATAAATTTCGTTTAATTACAAAAAAATATTGGTCGCAAGCGCTTGCACGCTATCGTGGCAAAGAAAATTACCAATAACAATTTTTTTATTTATGGTCATAAAATGTTAAGACTATGGTTAATTCAAACATTTAAATTTGCTTTTACGATTTAAATTCAAGCCAGCTGTGAACCCTTCTTGATCTTTTAAATTTCTAGTAGTAAAAATTCGAGCCAGTGACCAAATTCCAGCCACATTTTAAATTTATTATTTTTGTCTTGGTTTCTGCTTTATGTTTGTAAATGCGACTTTTTTGAGACTGGTATGAACCCAGCCAATAAAAAGATTATTTTAGTTAGCGGGTGTTTATAACATCATAACAAATATTTATCTCAAAAACTACTTCAGACTTAAAATATTACGTAAGCATTCATATAAAATATTACGTAAGCATTCATATAAAATACCTCGTAAGCATTCAGTTTGAAGCTTATAAACATTAAATACTTATTACTAAACAAAATGTTGATTATTTTAAACTATAAATATATATTTCCTAAAAAGACAATTTTAGCTTTAGAATTATGCTGAGTCATTTCTATAGATTGTATTTCTTAATTAATTACACCTGGTAGAAAGACCAAAATTCGGCCAGGTAAAAACCTTATTCCGGCTAAGGCTGAAATTAGGTACACAAGTGTCTAAAAGTAACTCATACTTGTATGATACTTGTATTATTAGATTTTATTCTTTCAATATAAGTACTTTATGTTACATTTATGTCCTAAAAGTTATCAATCTTAAATATGTGCATTTATTTAGATAAATATTTATATAATATTTTTAAAATATAAGGATGATGACTTAAAAATAAGCACATGTCTAAATAACTAAAAGATATTATTTTATTTCATGTAAATTGTTACTTATAAATGAAATTTTATTAAAAAACAATCTTTAATTAAAAATTTTAATTGAAAATTTTAATAATTTATAATATAAAGTTTTCATTTTAGAATGGCTGATAACAAAAATAAAATTCATAATAAGAAACAATGCCATCCAACTCGAGGTAAATATGTGGAATAAAAAGAGGAAGTGTTACTTGAAGCTATAAACAGTGTTATTAGTCTTAAATGTCTGTTAGAGCTGCTGCTAAATTTTTCAAAGTATCCCGAGCTACTCTGCAAAGCTGGATAAATGTAAAAGCTGAAATTAGTGCAAAAGCAGCAAGAAAAAGTTTTTAAAAAGAAAAATTCTTGGTATATGCTGGCAAGCTTGCAAAAAAATATGGCTATTCTTTTAAGAATGGCAAACCATCTAATAAATGGTGGCGACTACTTAACAATCGACATAACAAAAAAGTAACTCTTTGACAATCAGAATCAACAGCATCAGTTTGTCATCAATGCATGTTTCCGATAAAGGTGGTAGATCATTTTAGTGCACTTAAAGAAGTCATTTATAATAAACAAGGCCAATTTTACAGGACTTTTAACCAAAGCCTAGAATAAATGACAAAAGCTAATATTGAATCTGGCTTTAAATCATGTAGATTCTTTCCATATAATCCTTCGATTATTCCGGCTGAAGCTTATGTGTATTCTGAAAACAGGTTAGTGACTAATCTCTTTGATCAAATTAAAACAATTGATAATACAACAGCAGTTGAGCAGATTAATCAAACAACAGACAGGACAAAAGTACTTTTACCAGATATTGAGTTGGAACAACATCTAATTACCAACCCAAGATTTGCTGTAACAAATGATCACGACTATTTAGCTGAACTAATAACCATAGTAGAACATAGCAGTGATGGTTTAGTGAAACTAAGTATTAAAACTATAGAACTAAAAACTGCAAGTATAAAAGCTACTAGTAAGTATCAATACAGCTTTAGGATTATGTCTTACTCTGAAATTGAACCGCCTATTGATCAGCATGAAATTGATTTTACAGTTTCAACTCTTTTAGCTTCTGATTTTGTAAAAACTAGATTTTTTGCCCTAAACTTCCCATTTAAAAATTCATCTTATTCAGGAAATGGAGATGATGATATTTTGCCATATTCAGATCCAAATTTTACAAAGACCAAAAAAACTAAGTATGCAAGTTTTTTGTGCTTCTAAGGAAACATATGAGTCGCAATTAATCAGAAGCAAAAACAAGCTCAAAATGAAAAGGAAAAAGAAATGCGTAAATTGAAAAGACTACAGAACTTAAAAATAAAGGAAGCAACGGTTTTGTCAAAAGATAATCCTAGAAAAAACCGTTGCTATAAAAATGAATCAATAAAAGTATAAAAAACACTGTGTGATTTGATGGTGTTGTTGTGAATTTTTGTTCTTAGTGTTTAAAAAAGTCTATCATAGAGTTCACTGAACTTTTTTTTTTTTTTAATGTGAATATTATATTCTATGCAAATCTTTTAAAAAAGTAATATAAATTATTACATTGATATTAATTATTCTGATTTACATTATATTTCTTATTCAAAATATTGAACCTAGTTTTGTGTTTGGTTTTAACTTGCATTAAAAAATATTTCCTTTTATTTTTTACCAACATGTATTCGTTTTTTTTTTTCTTGCCCATGGACAAGGTGGTGCAACTCAGTTCCTGAAAACATATTTTTTTTAGGTTTAGGCATCCTTATTAAGTCTTGGAAAGTTTATTTGTTGATGAATGTTTAGCATTAAGTTAAGCAATCATTTTCTAACTGATGTTTAAGAACATGTTCATTTTAACTTTAAACTAAACAAACTTTAAATCCAATTTTTCAAAAACTGTTTGACTTATTGTTTAGCTGTCAACCGGCTAAAATTGTCGAATTAAAAAAATCAATTATTCAATATTTAGTAAATCAATTAATTTTTTTATTATTTTAAATGCCAACCCATAAAAGTATTGGTAAAAAGCTTGTTATTTATATTGGCTGTAATTAGGTTTATTCCGCATACGCCTGGCTGAAATTTGGTCATAGTGGCTGTATTTTGGTCAAATTTATATACTTTTTGTTATCGTTGTTATTTCAAACAATTTTTATTTTTAATAACTGCTGTAATTATATCCTAAATGCTAAAATATTGATCTTTCCAGAAATGTATAATTTTCATATAGACCTTTTTGTTAATATGTCTGTACAAACAATTTTGTAAAGATGCTGCTGAAATTTGGTCACTTTACCCTATAAGTTTATTGCAATAAAAAAAAACGTTCTTGTTATTAAAGGTATTTAATTAACGTGTTAATATACATATGAAGACTCCACGGGAAGAAACGGCAGGGTCACATTTTGAAAATTTTGACATTTTACACTTTTTAACTTTATAAACAATATTATTATACATTTTATCTGAATTCAGATCAAAAAAACAATTGGATGTATTTTTATAGTTTGATGGAACTTAATCACTTTTTTTAATTATCCAATACATACCTCCCCGAAAAGACAAGTGTTAATGAGTTAAAATAATATTTGCAAATTACTAATAGACAAACCTATTTTACTATTTTTATTTTTTGAATTATCAAGACTCATGCTTACGGCTATAAGTCTTTGTTTTTCAAAATAATCACAGATGATTTGGTTAATGTAAATTAAATAACACTTGAAATACCAATAAAAATGCTAAAAAAATCCAAGAAAAGAAAGAGTAAGGAAAAATTTGCTTGAAAGTATAAAGAAACAAAGACTAGCATCCCATGAAACAGGGCTTGAATGTAACTTAAATTTTTATAGAAGAAGAAAGAAAAATGTTGATAAGATATTTTAACTCCCTATCCAGCAAGGATGCTCAAGATTCGTATCTTGCAAGTTTAATAACTTTAAATAACGTTTCAAAAAGAAGACCACGAAACATTAATTTAAAAGATTATAATAGCAATTACAAATATAAATTTTTAATTACAAATCACGAGATACTTACGAGTTCGTTTATTTATGTTTGCTTTTCTGCGTTTATTTTAATCTTTGGCATGAAGGATGGAAGATTAGAGACCATTAAAAGAAGCCTTTTAACTAAAGGTAATTTATGTATTTTTATTGAATATAGAATGCTTATTTTTAATGGAAGTTTTCTTATATATAAAAAATATTTTTTCTCATTATAGGTCACTCTCCCCATGATAGAAGAGATAAACACAAGAATCAGTATAACAATTTTACTCCTCGACTAAAAAATAAAATATGTGATTGCATTTCTTCTTTCAGAGGTAGGTACCAAGATCTATTAATTATAACCAAGATGTATGGCTTGTTTAAAATCAAGTATGGAAATGATAAATTGTCATATGAATCTTATCGCAACATATTTAACAAAAGTTTTAACATTTCTTTTGGGTACCCTAGGACTGACATGTTCTAAATGTTATGTTTATTTAAAATTAAAATTGATGCAATAAAAATTGAACTATCTTTTAATTCAGAATTTACAAAGCCTGAACAACAATTGCATGAGCTTGAGTTACAGAAAGAACAGCACCACAAAGATGCAGAAATATTTTATATTAGGAAAAGAAATGCTTGATTTAAAGCACAAAGGAAGTACAAATTTGAGGCAATTGCTTTTGATTTCCGAAAAAATCTTAACTTACCAAATCAATCAACCAACGACTTATACTACAAACGAAAATTAGCATTTTATTCATTTAATATTCACGTGCTTTCAAGCAATGAAGTTTATTTGTATTGTTATGATGAAACTATAGCTAAAAAAGGGGCTGATGAAGTAACTTCGATGATTTTTTTATAAAATATTTAGACAAAGAAATTTGATCTGTAGAGCTTTTTTGTGATTCATGTGCTGGCTAAAACAAAAACTATACATTAATTCGTTTTATGGATTTTCTTGTTCATGAAAAAAAAAGGTTTGAATTTATTAAAGTTACATTTCCATAACATGGTCATTCTGTTATGGAATGTGATAAAGATATGGGATTAATTAATTGCAAAACAACTTTTAGTGATCCATCAGATTGGATTAAAACATTCAAAAATGCTCGTAAAAAACCCACTCTGTTTCATCTTATATAACTAACGTAAGGTATGGTTAAAAGTATAACTGATTTTATGAGACCATTTTATAAGAATAAATGTCCAATTCCAACTTGTCCTCTTTTTGAAATTTGTTTCAGAGGAGACTCAAGTGGCATTGTATTTCATTGAGGTTCGTGGAATGGGTTATTGTTGAAAACTAATTTAAAAAATAATAGGAAGAACACTATAAATAGTGAAATCCCCATTTTGTATAATGCAAAACTTGGCATCTCTTTAGCAAAGTACAGAGATTTACAAGTGTTAAAAAGGTTTATATCCAATGCTCAGGTTTTCAATTCTTTGCCATATAATCAGGAGGTTATCGAGACATTTCATAAAAATATTGATTCTGAAGATGAAGAGTAAATAGACTTCTTTTTTTTATTTAAATTTTGTTTTTAATTGTTTTTTTCTTAGTGTTTCTTGACAAATTTATAATCTTTAATATCTTTCTTCTTTGCTTCACTTTATACAACAATTTATATAATTAATAATCACAAGATATTGAATATATCTTTAAATTATTAGTCAGGGTATGAAAATAATTTTTTTTTTGTTTTTGTTTTTTTTTTGTTTATATCGTGTTACAGCATAGTCATAAGAATAAATAGTCTGGAAATAAAGGCAGTTTCCATTGTTTTGCCGTTTTATGTTGAAACTCGTATCAACGACCCGCTGAAGGTGCACAGAAAGATAAACAAAACTATATCTCTTTAAGAGTTTGAACTGAAGACTGGTTTTAAGATTTAATTTATATAGTTTTTGAAAATTTTTTGTATTAATTATTTTTCTAATCTCTTAAGAAAAATTTATTTAGTTTTAAAAATCTATTTTACAAAGCTAAAAAAGTAATAAATAAGATATATATATATATATATATATATATATATATATATATATATATATATATATATATATATATATATATATATATATATAATTATGTTTTACATAGCTAAAGTAGTTATAAATAAGATAATATATATATTATATATATATATATATATTATCTTATTTATAACTACTTCAGCTATGTAAAATAGATTTTATATATATATATATATATATATATATATATATATATAGAGAGAGAGAGAGAGAGAGAGAGAGAGAGAGAGAGAGAAATGTTTATGTGTTTACACAAGAATTTCCAATAAATTATATCAATTAGGTTTTTAATTTATATATATATATATATATATATATATATATATATATATATATATATATATATATATATATATATATATATATATATATATATAGTCTTGCATGATAGTCACAAAGTTTTTCCCATAAACTGTTGTTTTAAAGAGCACATTAATAAGCCTGACCAGAAAATGTTAAAAAACTTTAAAAAAAAATTTTTTTTTAAATGATAGACTGCCTGCCCAAACCAAACCCTCAGTTGATGTAACAGCACTCTCTTGCGAGCCAGGCTATTTGTCAGTTAATGTAGCAGCACTCCCTTGTGAGTCAGGCTATTTGTCAGTCGATGTAGCAGCACTCCCTTGCAAGTCAGACTGTTTGTCAGTCAATGTAGCAGCACTCTGTTGCGAGTCAGGCTGTAAGAGAGTCGATGTAGCAACACTCTCTTGTAGCAGCTGGCTATAAGATAGTCAATGTAGCAACACTTACGCATGTTTTAAAAATATTTTTTAATGAAACAAAAACAAAAACACCACTATTTAAAAAAAACTTTCTACTCATTATTATTGTGATTTTTTTAAAAACCAATAAAATTTAATGTACTTCCGCATTAATTTAATTGCTTTAACATTTCGACGACAATAAATTGCAACTTAAGAGACGAGGTAAAAAAATTGTAGTCAAAAGAGACTTTTTTTACCATAAAAGTCTCTTTCGACTACACTGTAAGGATATATATATATATATATATATATATATATATATATATATATATATATATATATATATATATATATATATATATATATTCATATATATATATACCAATATATATATATTTATATTTCAATATATATATATATATATATATATATATATATATATATATATATATATATATATATATATATATTTATATATATATATATCAATATATATTTATATATGCATATATATATATATATATATATACATATATATATATATATATATATATATATAAATATATCTATATATATATATATATATATATATATATATATATATATATATAATATATATATATATATATATATATATATATATATATATCAATGTATATATATCAATATATATATATATATCAATATATATATATATATATATATATATATATATCAATATATATATCAATATATATATATATATATATATATATATATATATATATATATATATATATATATATATATATATATATTTATGCATGTATGTATATTATTTTCGTCTTTAATTTTCATAGTTATTTTAAAGTCATTTTTTAGGCTGAAGAAGAAAATTTATATTATAGACTTTTGAACTTTTTTAGTAATTTAGACAACGTCTTATTGACATGGGACAATGTAATTTTGCATAATTTTGAATAATTTTTTTTTTTTAACAATGCCAAGCTTGCAAGAACAAATAATAATAAAGAAAATTGTAATCAATTCACTAAAATAAATTACAGTTGTTTAAATTTAATGTAAAAGTAACAAGAAAAAAAGGAGATCGATACTTTCGCTTTTATATGTTTTTGTTTACTGTGCACCTTCGGAAGAAGGAGAACGAGTAATTTCTGGAACAAAAACATAAACAAAGCGCTATTGTTTGCTTCCAGACTATATATTTCTTATGACTATGGTTACAGTTTACAATTATATAAATCGTAATACACTTATATAAATCGTAATACAATTATATAAATAACTTTATAAATAAAAGCTTTACAAACATAAACAAGGTTTCAAGGATCTTGTCGTCAGAACCTTTTAAAAGCTTAAAAAGCAACAACAACAGTAAAAATAAATAAGAAACTAAATATTATACAGTGCGTTATTGCATATTAAAGTAAGTCATTATATCGTTTATAGAAAAAATAAATTTTTTTAGTTTATTTTTAAAAAGTTCGAATGAAATTGATAAATCAAAATTATTCAAAACAATTTTGTTGCAGAGATAAGGTGCACGATATCCAATACAAAATTGATTAAACTTTGTACGACAAAATGGTTCATTTTAAAAATTACCATTTCGCAAAGTATATTTGTTTATTTTTTTGATAAAAAAATTTTTAAAAATGGATAGTGCTGAGTCATCTTTACATTGAAACGTTACATTAAAACAAAAACACAAAATTTTATAAATGTTGAGTTGATATACATTAAGGACATTCGCATCTTTAAATAAAAAATTAGAATGAGTTAAACGATTTTTAAAATATATTAAACGCATAGCGTGTTTCTGATGACGATAAAGAAGTCGCAATTTACTTTTGTTTGTGCTTCCCCAAGCAATATTGGCATAGTTAATATAGCTATGTATAAAGGAGTAGTAGAGTTGCATTAAACTCTTTTTATCTAGAAAATATCTGATCTTAAATAGGATGCCAATACTTTTAGCAACTTTATTGCTAATGTAGTCAATATGAGTTTTCCATGTAACATTTTCATCAAGAATTATTCCTAAAAACATTGTGGCGGTTTCTCTCTTTATTTCAATTTCATCAATAAATAGTTTTGGCTTAAGGTTTCGCAAAGATCGTTTTTTTGATTATGGGTGAAACAGAATATACTTTGTTTTGTCTATGTTTAAAGTTAATTTATTACATTTAAACCAGTAAGAGATAAGCTTAAGTTCTTTATTCATTTTGTAGAACAGTTTTGTAATGCTACGGTTTGATATAAATAAATTTGTATCATCAGCAAACATGATGTTTTTTAAGTTTGATACTTTATTTATATCATTTACATAAATTAAAAAAAGAAGAGGCTCGAGAATCGAGCCTTGAGGAACACCGCAAGTTATTTGAGTCATTTCGCTTTGGCGTCTGTTATTGACGGAGACAAATTGTTTTCTATTTGTTAAATAACTTTTATACCAATTTAAAAGATTGTTATTTATTCCATAATATTTGAGTTTTTGCAGTAAAATCTCGTGATCAACGGTATCAAATGCTTTTGATAGATCAATAAATACCCCTAATGTGTATTGCTTTCTACCAAAAGACTCAGAGATTTGCCGGACAAATTGTATAATTGCGTGTTCCGTTGAAATGCATTTTTTAAAACCAAATTGATTATTATTTAACAGTTTATTATCATTAAGATATTTATATGTTCTATTATAAATAACTTTTTCTAAAATTTTTGAAAAAGCTGGGAGAATAGAAATGGGGCGGTAGTTGCACACATCTGTTTTGTCACCATTTTTGTAGATTGGAATAACCTTTGCAATTTTTAATTTATCCGGAAAAATGCCTTGTTTTAAAGATGCTTTAAAGATTTTGAAAAGTATATCTCTTAGGTTTTCGTAGCAATCTATAATTATGTTACTATTTATTTCGTCGAAGCCAGTAGCTTTATTTCTTTTAAGAGATTTAAAGGCTATGTCAAACTCCTCGGGAGTTAGTTCAATTGATAATTCATTGTTAGTATTTAGATTGTGTCTAGAGGATAAAAAGCCTATAAATGAGTTATCGGTAGTTGGAATTCTGTTTGAAAGTTTTTTTCTAATTTCTGTAAAGAAATTATTAAAATTTTTTGCAATTTCACAAGGTTCGGAGATAATTTTGTTTTCAAAGTTAATAGTGTTTGGCAGGGAGTTTGAAGATATATTTGATTTCCCAATTAATTCTTTTATTATATTCCAACTGCGCTTTGAGTCGTTTTGAAATTTTTTAATAAGATTTGAATAATAGATTTTTTTAAAATTTTTTCGAATCTTCTCAAAGATATTTTTGAAATTCTTATATATTTTTTCATTTGCAGAAGATTTTGTTTTTAGATATTTAATATATAATTTTTGTTTTGTTCTGGAGGATTTCTTTAGTCCTTTTGTAATCCAGGGACTTTTTAATGATTTAGTATTTATTCTTTTTTCGCAAACTGGAAAGTTTGCGTCATACACTGAGCAGAATGTTTCAAAGAATTTATTATAAATGTTGTTTGCATTATCGTTAAAGTCAATATGCTCCCAATGTAGTAGAGATAATTGAGACTTGAACGATTCGAGATTTTTTTTGGTAAAACAACGCTTTCTAGTAATTTTATTTGTTGTTAAAGTATGCGTTGATCAGGCATTAAATGTTAAGAAAATAGAAAAATGGTCTGATAAATCAGTTTTTACAATACCCGTTTGAATGCTATAATTGAAAATGTCTGTTGTAACAATATTATCAATAAGAGTTGACGTGTTTCGTGTTACCCTAGTTGGACGATTTATCAGCGAAATCGCTCCGGTTGTAAATATTTCTTCATAAAATTTTTTTACTTTATAGTCATAATTGTATAGTAAACAATTCATATTTAATATTTATCTCCTATTATATAATTTTTTTCTTTTCATTATTTCCTTTGTTAATTATTTTTTGTTGTAAATACAAGCTAAAATTTTCAGACGCACCATCAGGTGGCCTGTTTTTTCGCTTTGTTGAAAATTTCAATTGTTAAGATTTCTTTATCGCCGTCAGAAACGCTCAAATCATTCATAATACAATGTGCAATGGTATCTTTTATATAAATCAGAACTCCTCCACCGCGTTTATTTGTTTGCCTCTCTAATGAAATTGTTTCAAAATTAAAAAGATGAAAATTAGAACTATTTTTTATATCATTCGACAAACACCAAGTTTCTGTTAAACAAATAATATCAAAGATA